AATAGCATATAAATAAAGCTACTATGTTTTTAAAAAAAAAGGTTTAAAAAGGCTTATGTAATGCATAAACTGTAACGTATATTTTCCTATGTATATTCATCTCTGAAGCAGGGCGTAATACTTTTTAAAGGAAAGTTGCAAGGAGGAAACTGCTTCGCTCGTTTAAAAACTGATCCCTCAGTATACACCTAAGCCTTCTTTTAATTTGTAAAATCCCGCAATTAAACAACTTTACTGCAGTGGAGAATAATATGCAGTACCGAATACCGTATCTAATACCGAAATCTACACTCGTGCATTTTCAATTATGCTTTACGGAGTCGCGTGGGAAATATCGAGAAAAGTTTGATGATTGTTTGTAACGAAATTTTTGGATATCTTGTGAGCAATACATATTCTGTAAGTGCTTTCAGAGTAAAAATGTAGTTGTAATAAAACAATTTCTTGATTTTGACTTAGATCTCTTTATAATCATTCTACTGAAATGACATATGGAGTATTTAATTCTGTATAATTCTCAATGTAGGGAGTAACAGACCTCAACATAAATATAAATGTCGGTAACGTGGTGCGCCAGTTCACGTTATCACTCGAGTATGAAAAATGGCGTTAACGTTGAAAAAGGAATAGATAAATTTTATTTTATCGATGTCGATTAAACTTTTCGGCGCCTTAAGGTGTTATGAAAGTGGCGTCTAAAGGGTCTTGTTCATGAATGTTTTTTTCGACCTGGATGTATTGAATCATTTCAAATTTCATCATGGAATATGGAGACTCTAGGAAGGTCCAGATACTCATGAAATTTCATTTTTTTTTAATTTCTTCGTAAAAAATTCTTTAATTTTTAGTAAACAGTGAAATTTCGTGCATGTCAGGGTATTCCTTAAGGCCTCCATATTCACATAACATTTCAAACAAGTAAGTACACTCAGTCCGGAGAAAAGTTTCATGAACGTGACTCCTCAGACTCCCCACTTTCGTATCACCTTAAAAACATTAAAAGTGAAAGTTCTGAGTGAAAATGCGTTTGATACTCTGGGACTTTGCTGCAGGTCGTGTCTGGACACATGTATAAAATTTATTTCATGATGTACATCTCGACGCTGGGTACAAAAAACGATGAAATCTGTACTAAAGAGCGATGTGCCGACAGATTACACGAACGAGCTGGTCGTGGGTGCGCGAAGAGGGATGGCGTCCCTAACTCTCGAGCCCCTGGTTCGTCATTCCTCAACCCCTCTTATCGACTTTTATCCCTTTCTCACCGGCAAACCCTCGGCGCTTTTTCAATGAATTTGTTCGCTCTGTTTACCCGACATGATCATAATACGGAGTTTACTTCCTTCACAGCTTTACGGCTTTGCAAGAGGAGAGTTTACCGCTTCTCCTATTAATCATGTCAGTGTTAAACAGTCATTTAATAAATAGATTCTGTAAAATGTAATGTTTCCAACTCCGGGTAAGGATATCGCGATAAATCTCGAGCCATATGTTTGAATCGAGATCTTGACGAATATTTGATAATTTACATTTGGGCTCTATGATTTTAAATCTTTCTTACGAAAAAATGTTTATAGTAAGTTTATATACGTTTTGTTAAAATGCTATTTTATTTTACAGAATTTTTGGACTAGTATTTTCTTGCGCTTTTCCTGGAAAAACGTTTGGTAGAAAGATACCTGGGGCGAAAGCTTGCAAATGAAACGTGGTACAAGTTGTTAAATGAGCTTTTGGTACCAGATTTACTGTAGAGCTTGATTATGACATCTTGTTCGTTTACGTTGTGCATTAAATTTAGGGGACTACATATAGATTAATATTATAATTTCAGGTTATACAGGAAAGTGACATTATAATGTCAGAGCATATTACTTTCTTAAAAATGTGTATAATTATTCTTTATGAACGTAATATTTAAATATATAGCCTCATAGTCTTTCAGTAGTCTGTAGTACAGTTTAGTACGAGTATATGTTAGTATTCCGTAAAAATATGTATCGGGTAACAAAATATCATTTATAAAGAGTCATACGTACATATTTCACTAAAGTAATATTTGGCATATCATAAAATTATACAAGCATGCTGTTCGATTGTGTGGTAAAACTATTGTGGGGAGGTTCTGTGCCTAAAAATAAGAAAAAAAGATTTTCAAATATGTCTAGGAAGCCGCACACCCTCTCTGTACGAGGTATTGCCTCCCTCTACTGCAGGAATTCTTTTCCTTCTTTCAGGGTCTTAAGCGACGCCTTCTAGGATCCCCTTCCTTAATTCAGGACTATGAATTGCTCGTCCGTCACTTCCACTTTTATTAAATATTCTGGCTTTTCTAGACTGTTGATTTATTAAAAAAATATCTACACACATTGTTATAAGGAAGCCTGAAATTTGAAAATCTGTCTCTGTGCACCCGTTGAACTTTTGCAGCGTTACTATGAAAACTACTGCAGTAAGAGTGCATATGCACATGCACGTATTAAAAAAATATCTACACACATTGTTATAAAAAAGCCTGAAATTTGAAAATCTGTCTGTGCACCCGTTGAACTTTTGCAGAGTTATTATGAAAACTACTGCATAAGAGTGCATATGCACATGCACGTGCATATTTCCCTTTTCTGTATAAATGAGCTGTTCGTTACTACTAACAATAAATTTGGTTTTATCACAATTTTCTCACTACTATAATTCATTTTCTGTAATATGGTTGGTGAAAGAAGTAAAATAAGTACAAGCCATTCAGTATTCCATAGAAGGCAGGGAATGTTTACTCGATTACCAGTGTTAGCATCCGTTTTTGTTCGAAACAATAAAACTGCTGAATGTAAAATTGTAATTCAATTTCAGGCATGCCGTAGTGGTTAATAATGTTCCAAACATATTTCGCTATCAACAGCAGTAAATAAAACGTTATAATTTCTAAAAGTGGGCAGTTCTCGGGTTTTCTTCGATGACACTTGTGTAAGTTGTTATCGATGATTTTACGAATTGGAAGTATTAATGCAATATTTAACACTAGGGTTTAACCGACTTAAACGACGAAGAGGGTCTCGCTATCAGCCTGTTACGACATCGTCCAGAAATGATCATCGACATTCGATAATGTCGTGTTTCCTCGTACTCGCTAGTTCTATACATGGGTTGGATAAAAAGGTTTCTCACGCTTGAGGGAGTAACTTTGGCGTGAGCAGGGTCGATAAATACTTCAAAAAATTGTCGGAGGTCGAGATAGAGAAAGAGAGAGTGGGATAGCGAGGGTGAGAGTAGGAGAGGGAGGCTGAAGAAATGAAAGGGGTTGAAGAGAGTAGCGTCTTCGAGGAAGACCACCCAGATAAGGGGCAAACATATAGGGAGGTGTGTTGTATATTTTTTCCACACTTGGATTGCAAATACTTATCAATGAAAATCTTTATACGAATGCTTTGGTGGAAATATCTCACTTTTACTCAAAACGTGTATAAGGAAAGACTGAATATGTTCTTATACATTTTCTACTTATTCGGGGAGCGTCAGATTTTGAGAATGGCTGTCAATTGAATAATTTTTTCTGGGCCTATTTGCAGTTGCTAAAAGGTGAATATTTGAATTTATGGGGAGAAATGTATTCAACAATGTCACATCATGAGCAAATTCTTAAATTTTGTGTTCATACAATGCTTGTCTTATTTATTTCGGACGTCTTGACCAAGAAATGAAGTTGGTTTAGATACAGTTCATCTTATACTATTCATCCATATTTTCACTCACTATCTTTTATTCTTCATCATTTCTTACGGTTGTTGCCTTCCTTTTTCCCTTGCTAACTTATCACCGTTTCGTTCACGTAACCTGCTATTACTTCTATTACATTAAGTTCACATTTTTTGTCTCTCCAAAGTTCTTCAGTTCAGTCAAATATTGAGTTAATGTCCGCATATAATGACCAGTATCAGATATTAATAATAATATAGATGCATATGTTAATTTTATACAAAAATGTGGTATGTACTGGAAGTCATATCTCTAATTACATTATTTTGTCATTTTGAGCCTTGCAATAAATTAGTTTAATCATTCTAAAAGGTAGTCATGCTCTTAGATAGGTGAGTTTCATCCCTGTTTTATCTTTTTAAATACATTTAATTAGTTTGACTCAACGTAGAAGAGTTCATACTACTGCAATCATAAAAGATAAACGCTTAAATCAGTAGCCGCGCTTAGTTCTTGAAAGACGAGACTACAAGCTATGGAAATGGCGAGATGTAAAACGAAGAGAGCGAAAAGAGGCAATGCAATTTCAAGACTTCAAGAAAGAATCTAATTATCCGTCGCCCTTGGAAGTAGGTTTCTCTGGAGAAAGAAAGTGCAGTATGAATCATTATTTCAAGATCTACGGAATGAAAGGGGGAAAATAAATGTATCGGGTTCTTAACAGCACTTTTTACGCTAAATCTATGCGTTAAACTTTACCGTCGTTGCTTTTAATTAAATACGAATTAATTTTCATGCGTTTAACTAGAACTTTATGTGAAGAAACAAATGATAAGTAATTTTAATGTCGTTGCTAATTACCGTACCTCATACCGTTTAACATTTTAATCGGATGGGTAAGTATAGCTCGGATATTAAACTATATTAATCAAAAAACCTCGTGTTTGTACTTCTGATATTGAAAATCTTGGGAATGGAAATTGACAGAAATATGACAGAAGTTTCACGTTGCACAGGACAGTGATATAAGATGTTGCGGGAGTATTGCAATTATACAGAATTCTATAAATGTATAATATTTTTACTGTTCCTAAAAATGTTGACTTTTCAGCGTTCGGCGTGAATTTAGCGTTATAAACCAATTGAGAAAATCGAGTTATAATATTCGATCAGCAATTGTCTGTTATAATGATGCTCAGGTGACGGCCTCCATTTCCAGAAATGTCTTGCTAGCCAAAATATTCCGGCGTTATGTAACCGTAGTCTCGTCTACATTTTTCGATCATTCAGGATATGCAAATTGTTTGGGTTGTTCATGGTTTTTTCTAAGGTAACCCAGCAAAATGAACATAATTGTATGGATTACAGGTAAATGTTCAAAGTCAAAATATATAAATGCTTTATTTATTTATTACTTATTGCTTATTTATTAAAAAATAATATATTAGTAATCTTAACGTAAAATAATCCTCTACAATCGAATCTAATCATTAGGGGAATGTTGTAGACACTGGTTTCTCTTTATTACCTTTGTGGTTTAATTAAAAGTATTAAAAATCGATATTTAATAATTAAATTGTCGGTAACTCTTGCATGAAACTAATGCAGTATAATGCAAATGAACAATTTTTTGTACACTTTACAATTACACACTTTACAATTACGGTCGATTCGGATTGACGTACGTGTAGTTATCGAAGCAAATTGGTTGTCGAGTGATCGAGGGTGAGAATGAGTTTCAATAGGTGTAATTGAGTTCGCGAATGCTACCACTTGAATAATTCTAGACATTATCATCTGCCATCCGATTATTTTCATCCAGTGACACGCGAGGATAGACATGAAACGTTCAATCTATTTTTAACTTGATGCAATAGAGCTTAACGATTATTCACCAGCTCCGAAAAGAATTTCATTTAAATAAAAGCGTTGTAATCCTATTCACTCTGTTTTCTAAGAAAAGGTAAAATTAGAATAAGTCCAACCATAAAAATGAGAGAAATCATTTAGTCTGTTATGTTGAATACTTCATATGTGAATAAGTTTACCGCCATAATTTTCTATCCAATTGAGCTTTTTTAAAGACAGCAATTTAATTTTGGTTTAAAAGTGCTTGTAATTATTAAGATACGGTCATAGTCCACTTTCATGCAGCTAAACAATATATGTTATCATTAGATATAAACCATTTTCATTTTTAGATGTTGCAGTTTTTAAGCAATATATGGTTAGTTTCTTATTTATATGATTTATGTTTTCACATGTGATTTTTTGTCTAGAAGGACAGTTCAAAACAATATAGTACAGTAGACGAATGCTACTTCCATCCGTTTTCTTATTCTTATTCTTACACGTTTCAAATATTATTAATCCAATTTATCCTTATCTTTTTCATACAATGTATTAAAAGAAGTGAATTTTCAAACGTTTCTTCCAGATATGAGAGGCCAGACGATGCAGCCGATATTATTGCAAAACCAGAGAAAGTTGAAAGTAAAACGTTGAAGCTGGATTGTAAGGAAGGTCTACTGATATTAGACCGACAGTGTTATGAAGTCAGTAACGTTGCTGAACAAACTACTTTTGTCAGAATAATTATGATAAAATGATTCACGAGTAAATTATCGATTTAGGATCTCCAAAAGAGTCTTCATGACTGGCGTAATATCCTGTGCGTCTACTGGCCATTGTTAGTTCAAGCTATATTTATAATTGCATTTATCGTTGTCATATGTCCATGGATACGTCAAGTGTATAACGACGAAGCCTCAGCTGCATACGAGTCTCACGGTATATTATGGAATACACCTTTTATGTATGCAGAAAATGCCGAGACAGTTAAAGCTGCAGGGCCGGAGAGGTATTCAACAATTTATTTGCATTAAATAATTAAATTACGTCAAAGGACTTATAATATTTAGGAGGAAATTTAAAAGAAAATTATTTATATATAGATATATAAGAATGGTAGAAACGAAAAGAAAACAATTTTTTAAACGTGTTTTTAATATTCCAAGTCATTTTGAATACATAAAATGTGAGACTAGATTGTGCAGGAATCGATTTTAGTCCATTTCATGTATATACATGACACGACATGCAACAGATAGCGATGCCTCGTTTATGGGACTTTTATGGATTTATGTTGTCCTCTGGTACTCCTGGTTATCACTTGATATTCGCAATTTGTGGTCGTATTTTACAGGCCGAGCAATGTAATTTTATGACGATAAATCGATTTAATGACACATGTGCCAACTTTTTGAAGTATAGGATGTGGCCTTCTACACCGATGTTTCGTTTATTCACTCCGATTGTGAAGTGTAATATACACGTAACCTGCAAACACTGAAAATGACCCTATATCACGTTCATTAGTGCACAATATATTATTAAATTCATTTCCCCCGTTATTGACAATAGGAAATAGGTAAATTTTCAGTAAACCTTTCAACCTTTATCACGAGTTTTTGTAATATCTCAGATGGGAATTAATGGTTGAAAATCGTATCGACATTAATAAATTATTAGTCAAATTGTGATCGAGTAACCATACCAGAGTAAGCCTTAGGGTAGACATTCAACCGCTTCAATTAAAGCGGAGATAAATAGAGAGAAAAAGAACATTTTAGACTCTTGTGTTATCATTCTTGTAATAAGACTCCTATTTTGAATTCGCAGAAGAAAATATCATGTTAATTAATTCAACTAATTAGATTGAAGCCGATACGAGTCGAGTGAAAAAACAGCATTTTACTCTCCTTAAAGCTCCTTCTCTCCCTGAAGCTACTTCAAAATTTGTGTTATCATTCCTGTAGTAAAATTACGATTTCTAGTTCGACAAAGAAATAACGTTGAGTAATTAGGAGCGAGTTGACGTAGCTATGCGAGTGACATTTTGGTCGCGTTGTGCAGCAGTTTAACGAGAGTGACTAAGATGCTAATTCACGGCAAATTACGAGGGTAAAGGTGACTAATTGAAGATGCTTCAAGTTTCGTTCCCTTTCCAGTCGGGTCGCCTGCGGTTATAGGTCGTGCTTCGCTTGGAAGAGCTTGCAGGTGAGGCCCCTGAGAAAAGCGAGCTTTCTTAAGAGGAAACGTACACCAAAAGAACCCCCACGCTCGTAGTAGTCATTAAACCCATCTCTCTCTGTTCCCGTGAAATGTAGCAATTTAATAAATTGTATTCATCCAGCTATAATTTACGTCTCGTAAACTTCTGCTCACTAACGAGCAATATCTTGTAAGTGAATGGATTAGCCAGAATTAATAATCGTCAGATATTTTCTTCAATTGTTTCCCGCATTTATGGAAGATACATCTTCGACTAGGTACATGCTGCCATGAAACTGCTTTTTAATACTCTTCAATGATAGAAATAATAAATTAATTAACTCTTAATATGCTATGTTAGTATTATGACCACAGGCACGGGCTCTCAGAGACCACCTCCGTTTTTTCACTAATAAAGTGCGAATATTAACTAAACTGTATGAAAGGTAAATGATTTATGGTGATGTATGATTTGAAAGACGCTTCGTTAAGTTTCTAGAGCGAATGGTTGTATACGTGTTTTTTTTATTTAATGTACGTCAAGTGGAGTGGTTGATCTGGGTTTAGATATTTTCCATTTAGAGGTTTTTCAATTCTGGTTTTATGCGGTAGTCGGGAAGGAGAATATGTGTAAAAAAGAAATGAATTTAAGGACATCTTACCAAGAGGTCTTTGAATGAGACATGATTTGAATGTCTTTCTTTTTTTGGCAATACTGACGTAGCTAAGTACAAAGATACGACGATTAATGTTTTTTTCTGCCGGATTTTGATTACTGAACGATAATTGGAGGTGAGAAGGAGCGAGTTTAAATGTATTAATTTTGAAAAATGTATTTATGTTATACGCTACTAACGTGACATGCTTTGCAGTATTTTTTAAATAATTTATTTTTGTATTTTTACACATTTTTTGTTACTGGTCAAGGTAAATGATCATCGATGCGTTGACATTTACTTTATAGTCGATGGTTACCGATAGATTAATTTTCCACGTTACTGTGCTCATGTAAAAATAATAAAAATGGCTGTAGAGATATTGTTACAGTAGACGACATTAAATCCTTAAGAGTTTGCATTCATTTAGTCTTTTCTTTCAACCAATTATAATAAATAAAATGTAATTTTTAAATAGCATAAATTGATGTCAAGATTATTTCTGATTTTTTTACTAAGAATTAAGTATTCTCGGTACTATTACGTGTATGAAATTGATAAGTATATATAAAAGATACAACAATTTTCGAAGCATTAATGTAACATGGCTGGAATGCTTTTCGAAAACCACTTTAATACCATTTTCTAGAGTTTCGTTCCACATCAAAGCTATGTTTAAATTAGTTATGACGTCAGTTGCATACTTTACTCGGTGATTGAAGCTCAACTTATAATGCATTAAAGAAAAATAGCAGAGTCAGCGCATATGTGTTTACAACATATTTATGTCGTAAATACATGCGTTAAAAAGAAATTCATATTATTATATCAATGCATGTAAAAATCTATGATCTTTCAAATGCGGCTTAAATATATTCGATTTAGGATCTCCAAAAGAGTCTTCATGACTGGCGTAATATCCTGTGCGTCTACTGGCCATTGTTAGTTCAAGCTATATTTATAATTGCATTTATCGTNATCATGAAAATACCAATGTTTCCTTTTAATGAGCTGTTTATTTATTCTTACTGACAATTTTATGCGACAAGAGTTGAATCCTATTGATAAATTGTTCAACTACGTACACCTTTACTTTTGTTTATTCAAAAGTTTTATCATAAGTTCGGATTTTCGGTCCATTGTAAATGATGTATAGAGGTAATTTTTCTTTGAGGTAACCTTAGATTCATGCTGATGTAATTACAGGCAGCTACTGTTAAGGCGCATAAGAAATTATAATTTCACGGTTTGTGAGGGAATATTTAACAGCACAGTCTCGTGAGAGTTGGTCGATGCAGAAAGAGGATCGATACTAAGCATGTGCCTCATTGCACTAGTGCCGTGCAACATTCGTACTGATTTGATCGCACACGCACCAAACTTCGTAGAGTCACGCACTTCACGTGCATCGCACATTTGCACATCACGCTACAGTATTCTTCACAGTGCTTCTGAGAATTGCGGTGATAAAAAATGGGAATACTTAAACTTGATTAAAAATATCGAACTTATTATTGTCGCGCGAGTGAGCACTTTATCCCAAGCTTTGCATATTTTTAGATCATGTATGTGCAACAACTCCCCACTAAACAATGGAGTTACCTTAAGTTATTGGAGTTTTGAAAGAATCTTTGCATATCTGGCAGAATTTCTTGCTTGACTGCAATTTAATACTTCTGAGTAAAAGTGCAGCTATTAGTCTCGGTACGAAAAAAAAAAAAATGAGGAATAAGGGTATAAAATAAACTCGGGAAAAAAAATGAAAACATAAAAAGTATATATTGTATGTTAAACATGAATTATATTTCGTTTTTAATGTCAAGATACGTTGAAAGTACGACGGTAAAGGTAGTGTAATTGAGTGATTACGTTCATGTAGTAACTCGTTAACGTGCAGGGGCAACAAAGCATAAGTAATATTTTATCGGATAAATTTAACGCTTACTAAAGCTGAAAATTTAAGGTGACACGTCTGATACAATTGAAATGATTATGCATAATGGTGCTCCTGTTTCTGGAACCATGTTGATTTACAGGGTGTTAGGCTAACTGAATTATATTTCAAATTTGTTTCATTATTCATTCATTGGGCATATTCTTAAGGTATCGTGAATAAAACAGATAAAATAGTTTAATTCATTTATTATTTAGAACGGTCTAGTTTTGTAATGTACCGTGAATTTGATATATCTATCAGGTTGGTGCAAAAATAATTGCGGTTTTTATACGCGGTCGATACTTAAAAGCAGCAATTATTTCTGCACCTACCTGGTACTCAGTTGCGACATTCTACACGAAGATGACTTTTTGACATGACATAAGCGAGGATTCATTTGGAATGAAAGAGATATGAAAATGTTTAAAACATCGCAGCGTATAGAAAGAAACACTAAAGAATTTGAAAAATTACGGGGATTACAATTTACGATACTTTTTAATTATCTCAGATGTGAGATCGTTATAAATTCTGATGTGTGAGACATGAATACATACACCTGAGCCGGTATCGAAGTTCCTGCCGAAATACTCGGTTCATGACATGTATTAGTAATTTGGTGCGAAACTCTACAGAGATTTCTGATATGAAGCACTTATAGAACTAATTGTCGTATCCTACTTGTTTCTACGTGATTGTTGTATTGTTTGATACTGCTTGGTTTAACGTGAATTTAGCATATTGGGATCATGCAGATATTCACGGCGTGAATTTAGCGTTTGTCCGAAACGTCATGTAATAAAATCTCGTATCGAGAAGTTTGTAGTTTACGCATATGTCATCGGCACGTTCTTTGAGTACTTAGATATCGTCATGTGCATTTTTCGAACAGAGCTTTAATAGAGAAATTTAATAGATTACTGTAAATGCAAAGTGTTAAAAATAATTATAACCGGTAGAACTTCAGTTCCGACATATTACAGTCATGATGTCACTGATTAAATTTCGCAACGATACGCAAATGACGAGGTTAAACCTCGAAAAGATCTCTATTAAAATGCTTGTGCTGTATTAAAATTTCCTTGACCATGTCGATGCGAGAAGAAGACAACGAGTTATTCCTCCGCGACATCAATTTCTCATCGCAAAAGAAATCGGAGGATAAAAAATGCGGAAACGACGACACTCAATCGGAAAATATTAATGATAAGGGAAAAGTGACGAAAGCCATTCAAAGTATAATGAGCGAGCACGATTTTGAATTTCTGGAGAAATCCAAACGAGTACTTCCACTGCAGAGGAGTAGCTCCGAAGAAGACTTCGGGGATGAAGTGACAAGAGATAACGACCCCGTTTCATCTACATTTACATCCCCCAAAAGTGTTTCGAGGTTACGGGGCGGCAGGTTCTTCCAAAATAGATGTCCTTTCACAGATCGCTCGAATTTCAACGTTAAGGTAGGAAAGTGTAAAAAGCCATGCCACAAAAGAATAACTCCATACTACACACTTCCTCGGAAGTTGAAGAAACCCGAATCTTCAAGGAAATCTAAAACAACCCTGAGCCGTTGCAACTGCCAACCGCGTCAACAGGATTACTTATCAACTGATATGGATTTTATAAATAATTCCGTTCAACGTCAGCGATCCTTGGACCCTGCTAGGACCTTCGTCCCGAGCAATAAACCACCTCCGAGGAGCAATAAAAGTGCATGTTGCTGTAGAAGATTCGTCAGGGCATTCGGGCAGAGTTATCCAGCGTGTCTTTTGCAGCGATATCCAGAATCGATGAGTTTGACGGATGAAGACTATAGATTAATGTCAAGACTCGGGTCAAACGATATAGGAAGGGTTCCAGCAAGTTGTCAGATTCCTGGAGGTAGAACAAACGTTTTAAGAAAGGACGTGAATGAAGGAATTTACAGGCGGCCAAATAATGTTGGAGCTAGAAGATCTTGCTCTACCATCGAAAGCACCGAATGGGAACGTTCTCCTGGAACTGCGTCAACCACGTCGTTTTGGGAAAGGAAATATTTGGAAGAAAATGATTTTAAAAGGAACCCTAGGAGACCTGCACCGGTTAAGTGCAGAAGACAGGCGAGGAACTGCGGTTGTCGGATTTGCGAGCCATTGCAAACGATGATGGGCAGCAGTGGAAGAATGAAGTTACAGCGAAATGCTCCAGTTCGGGTGTTGAAGCCTCCTACGGTTCTTGGAAGCACTCTGAAAGGTCGAAAGAGAAAAATGGTTGCACCGTGCGTATGTGGAAACCGAAATTCAAAACCTTTTATTGATAGAGTTCCAAGGACTCCTCCATGGGGATTGAGATGTCCGGATAAGAACGTGACCAATCAAAGAACATTTCCGAAAATAATGCAGGATGCTTTCGTGGCTGACGAATCATACGACAGAAGGCCACAACTGAACGAAACGAGATTCAGAAGGGTGAATAGGGTACCTGAAATTAGGAAAGATCTTAGAAATGGAGATACCTTGCCGAAAGGGTTGTACATTACAA